TGTTAAAGGTTTGATTGCTTGAATTGCTTGATGCCGCTATAGCTGCACACGATTGCTTGTGAAGGGGTAGCTTCGCATTATGTAGTGGTGTATTCTTTGAGTTTTAAGGTGATGAACTGTACAAGGGCAGGATGGATTCTAGAGTTAGATAGAGGCGAAGGTATTCCTTGGGAAGGCAACTATTCTTCTTGGCTAGAGCAAAAGGCCAATAGACTTGCCATGGAAGAAAAAACAGAATCTAAACGCCGCAAAACCCTAGAACGAGAATTAGAATGGGTACGCATGGGTGCCAAAGGTCGTCAGGCAAAAGGGAAAGCACGTCTTAGCGCTTATGACAAATTGCAGAATGAAGAGACAAGAGAAAAAGAAGCTAAACTGGAACTCTTCATCCCACCTGGAGATCGTCTAGGTGATAAAGTGATAGAAATCAATGGTGTCTCTAAAGCATATGGTCAACGAGTCCTAATAGATAATTTTAACGTTTCTATACCGAAAAATGCCATCGTAGGTATCATCGGACCGAATGGTGTGGGTAAGTCCACGCTATTTAGAATGATCATGGGCAATGAACAACCCGACAGTGGTAGCATCACGATCGGGGATACCGTGCATCTCAGTTATGTAGATCAGTCACACGCAGACCTCAAACCTGACCTCACGGTGATGGAAGCAGTAGGCAAAGGTTTGGAACTCATCATGGTAGGCAAAACTCAAGTCAATGTCAGGGCATACCTAAGTAAGTTCAACATAGCAGGTTCTGACCAACAGAAAAAAGTAGGTGTTCTATCAGGTGGAGAACGCAACAGAGTCCACCTAGCCATGACACTCAAAGAAGGTGGCAACGTTCTACTCCTAGATGAACCTACCAATGACATAGACGTAAACACACTCAGAGCGCTAGAAGAAGCCATCGAAAACTTTGCAGGATGTGTCATGGTCATCTCCCACGATAGATGGTTTATAGATAGGTTAGCGACCCATATTTTGGCATTCGAAGATGACTCTCAAGTAGTTTTTTTTGAAGGTAACTTTAGCGATTATGAGAAGGCAAAGATCGAGCGATTGGGCAATGTGACGCCGAGGAGACCTAGATTTAAGAGTTTGTTGTAAAATGAAATCTTAAATAAAAATTGTATTTCGAGTGAGTAATTAAATTTTTAACTTTGTTTGCATGAAGAGTTTTTTTTTCTGCTTAACTTATTTTTTCTTTTTACAATTATCTGTCCAAGGTCAGGACACACTGGATAAAGTTATATATCAACAAAGTCATAAAAAGAAGGTTAGCTTTTTTCCAGAAAATGGTATGGGTTCAGGATCTCCTAATAACAGAAATTCAGATCAGGTAGTTAGAAATAAATCTAAAGGTACAGGGCAATTTGATGCAACAGGTGGAGAAATATTTAAAAGAAAAATCATATCGAGAGATATTGAAAACTTCAAAAATGATCTCTCTGTCAAAGGAACAGTAACTGTAAAGGTATGCATTGATAGAGCAGGCCGGGTAACTTTTGCTGAAATAATTCCTGAAGAAAGTAACATCAAAAACCCAAGTACTTTAGCCATTTTTTTGAAAGCAGCTAGAAGTTATAGGTTTCAAACATTACTTATTGTTCCTGATGAACAATGTGGGAAGTTAGTTTTTATTGATGGTTTAAATCTTAAATCTCAAAAATTTATTCCAATTTCTTTGGATTCAGTAATTCTTGATAATGATCTCACCCATTATCATCCATCTGAAATTGGCTTAGAATTAATTGACAATAAAAATAGACAAGTAATTGAAATATTTGAATATGGT